TTACGTTTTTAAGTGTAGACAGAGCATTAATGAGGTCTTGCCTACATGGGGGAACTGACTGGCATCGCTTCCTCCAAGTGGACACTACTCCCAAATTAAAGTGATTTTATTCCAGAATAATTATTTCACTTAAGGAGCAGAATAACTATTCTAGATCAAAAGCATTGCTCTTCTGGACAGGTGTCTGCTCAGGGAGCTGTTCTGAAGTTTATTCAGCAGTAGCTATGCCGGTGAGTGTCGCCATGTAAAGAAACCCTTATGCAGTCTCCTGCAGTTGTTAGGAAAGTATTGTGAGGAACATCCCTTACAGAAAGGACTCAATTGTGAGCACTGCCAGCGTATTCACCTACATCAGCAAATGGATGTGAACTTGAAGAGAAGGCACTTGCTTCAATTCCTCGTCCACACATTTAGAAAGAGAAATCTTTGGGGCAGCTGCCTTTCCTCTAATTAGCTTATCCTTGCATTGAAATAGCTGGTAGATTTTTCAAGTGGTACATGGAAAGCAAAGATCTGATCCATTGGGCTCATTAATGATCCCAGAGCATTTTCTGTAAGGGTGTAGGCGTTAATCCTAGGCTACATCTAGACTGGCAAGATTTAGCGCTAATATTCTAAACGCAAGAGTTTTTGCGTTAGAGTATTTGAGCAAGAGAGCGTCTATACTGGCATGTGCCTTTGCGCAAAAGCATCCGTGCCAGTGTAGACGCTGTCTTGCGCAAGAAAGCTCCGATGCCTATTTTAGCCATTGGGCTTTCTTGCACAAGAAATTGATGTTACCTGTCTACATTGGCCTCTTGCGCAAGAGGACTTATCCCTGAGCGGGAGCGTCAGAGTATTTGCGCAAGAAGCACTGATTTTATACATTAGAACGTCAGTGTTCTTATGCAAATACTCGCGGCCACTGTAGACAGGCGGCAAGATTTTGCGCAAAAGCAGTCGCTTTTGCACTAAATCTTGCCAGTCTAGATGTAGCCGTAGTGTCTTAACCAGACTCCAGTTGGGGTGATTGAAGTGTGTGGAGGCATATTGATGGAGTCACTTGATTAAGCCGTGTCTCTTGAGATGATAACCTACATCCATTTTACATTGCCTCAGAAACTCGCTATACATGACAGCGTTTGAACCTTGGATGAATGATCACCGAGAGAATGTGTCAGTTCACATTTCACTATTTACATTCCTGGTACAGAGATGGGATAATCTAGAGTCAGCTCATTTATTTTCAGTCTCCTGGACAGCAGAAGCACTGTTCTATATTTCACTCTTCGTAGCAGTTTCTCAGGGCCCTGGAGTACGTTGATAAAGCAGGCGGTAGGTCTGGGCATTAGCGACACAAGCATTCATCAAGTGGTTAGATATATTGCTGGAGACCAAGTGATTGCCATATTAATCAACAGAGCAAAGATCAGTACTCAGAAGTTCAGCAGGAATATATATAGTTGTCTGTCTCTTCAACAGCTTGGGGGGGAAAAAAAGCAAACACATTCCTTCCAGTGCTGTTAATTGACATTTGTCCCCCACATTACACAAAATGTCTCTTCCCTCTTCCCTGCTAGGGAAACCCTGGAAAATGCACCCTTAGTTGTGTGTGTGATTCGGTGCCAGATCTGAGCCATATTGCTGTGCATACATTTCAGTGACTTGATAGTGTGATGAGACTCTAGGCCCTAATCAGGGTAAACGAGAGCAGTGATACTTTTCAACATAACCTTGATTGGAGGGTCTTGCCAGGCAAGGTTGGAGTTCATGGGGGAGGCTGTTTGTGCCCACATGCTTCTCCCACAAGCAGTTGCTGCGCTCCCACCTAGCACAGCTATAAACAGCAGTGTAGATGATGTGCTTCAGCGAGTGGAGTGGAATGCCCGAACTCTGGAATCCCCCAGGTGTTTATACCCTACCTGTGCCTCTCGTCTCCCTACTGCTAGCATCCCACTATCTCACTGTCGCTAAAGCCTTTTCCTGCCACAGTGGGAGGCTCTTGTAGTGGGGAAAGGCCCTTCCAGCCGGAAGGCACAGTGAAAGGCTCTGGCCAGGGGGAAGGCTGTGCCCTGCCAGACCCTTTCCTTGCTTTGTGTAGTCACACACCACAGTGACAGGTGGGGACACAGCCTGCCTTTCTCTGCTGTGCATAACCACACATGTAGGGCCTGTACTCTGCACAGTGCTGCAAATGTGGTCGTAGCCTCTGAGTGAGTGTGAGGGCTCAAGAGGAAAAGAATCTTGCCCTGATATGGCATAGTAGGGTCCCCCCGAGTGAGAGGCAGGAGGGGCAGGAGAAGTAAAAGCAAGCGAGAGAGAGAGAGAGACCTGAAAATCCTGTCTTATGACTTGGCTTATGTATGGGCTAATTGGCTAGTTCCTAAATAATGCTGCTGTGTAGACATACCTTCAGAGAGTGTATGACGCTTTTGCTCTTAATCAAGCGGCCTCTCAGATATTGAAAAATGAACGAGTCCTCTCGTCTTCAGCAGTTTTGTCCTTTGGCACTAATGCACTAAAACAGGGCTACTCAACTTTGGAGGACCCAGGATCCACAATGATACCCACAGCACATGCCAAGGACCGCAACTTAAGTGTGGTTGCATATACATGCAAATATATATGCAAATAGCTTCTTTCACACTGATGGGCATGAATACAAAGATTAAGGCAAGACTACACAACACTTAGGCCTCATTTAAGTCAGTTCTGCTGATATTAATAAAATGCAATGTTTACCGGATTTCCACCCATATGACATCACTTTTAATGAGCAATGACAGTCCAGGAATTTAACTGCTACAATGCATATCAACAGAAAATAAAATGCATGTCAGCCATTATATTGACTACTTTTTGTTTGGGCTCCCACCCACGGGCTGCGTGTTGAGCGTCATGTAAAACCCAACTGCACAGCGGGCCGCAGACAAACAGGCCGTGGACCGCATGCAGCCCACGCGCCGCGTGTTGAGTAGCCCTGCCCTAGAATGAGATCTTGGCAAAGTTCGACTCCTTGAGTTATGTAATTTCCCATCCCTGCAGTTTCATTCCTGTGAGAAAGCAACGGTGAACATATGTCCTCTTCAGTAATTACTTGTATCCAAATCCCATACAGTAGGCTGCCTGCTAATGAGTTGTCCTCTGGCTCCCCCTAGAGTATTACACAGAGCTCTTTTCAAAGCCTGGAATTTTGTGATTCTAATCGAGTATGTTAAACGTTAACAGTTGCTGCAGCTCTGCCAAACGTTAACAGTTGCTGCAGCTCTGCCATGCATTTTGGCAGGGGTGTGTTAGTGATAAGCGTGCTTGGACAAGAGAGTGATTGTTTTTTCAATACTACTTTTGCAGGGACATGCGCTGGAATAAGGGTACTATTTTAAAAGCCTCAGTGGACTATATCCGCAAACTGCAGCGAGAACAACAGCGCACAAAAGAACTCGAGAACAGGCAGAAGAAACTAGAACATGCCAACAGACATCTATTGCTCAGAATACAGGTTTGCTGATAAATACATTATGAATTAATGATACACACACATGCAGCTGTTAAATTGACATCCCTTGCCTACAAGAAAACACCAGTTTACTGTGTAACTTGGAGGGAGCTGTTGGGTTATCCTTGCAATATCTCTGATTAGTGCTGAGTTAAATTTGTAGAGTTCTTGGTCCTCCGTTTACCAGAAAAGACAGGCTATGTTGTAGGAGGAACTTAAAAAAAATGAGATTTGCTAGATAGGAGAGAATTCTCTAGCTGTTTACTAAATCTTGGTGTGTCTCTGTGCCCACTACAGTCTCTCTGCTCTCGCCACATAACTCTAAGCCATGGGTAGGGAACCTAAGGCCTGGAAGCCGGATCCAGCTCCCAGCTTGCCAGGATCCGGCCCCCTCGGCTCAGCCACCCCCTCCTAGCGTTATGATGTTGCGCATACAAATAAGGAGTCCAGTCCTTCTCTCCTTGTAGGTAGAGAAAGATTTGCTGTTGACTTCGGAATGAGACCCAGTGTGATGTATTATAGGTTGAACCTCTCTAATCCCGCACTCTGGTCTGGCATTATTTGTGGTCCAGCATGATTTTAGTTACCCTAAAGTCTGCTTATTGTGGGTGACGCCAAGTTACCTCTCTGTCCCATAAAGTTTTACAGCCACCAGTCCTGGCTGTCCGTGTTCTCCAAGCCCAGTAAGCAGCGGAAGTGTTGGTAACGCTGCTATGCGTCAGCATGGTTTTTATGCTTTATCTACTTATACCCTCACAATAAGATTGTGTAACAGCACTAATACTTTGTTATGAAGAGCACTGATAAGCCTTGGCTAGGCTTATATAGGGTGTATCAGTACAGCCCTACATTATTATGCAGCACTGCAAGCGTCGTTCCATTTGTTCACCCCAGCAAAATAAACATCAGGGGTGTGTCTAGACTACAGGGTTTTGTCGACAAAAGTGGACTTTTGTCAACAAAACTATACCTGCGTCTACACTACCGCCGAGTTCTGTCGACATAACATCGACAGAACTCAGCAGTTTTGTCGACGGTGGTAAACCTCATTCTATGAGGAATAACGCCTTTTGTCGACAGTTCTGTTGACAGAAGGCGTTATTGCATCTACACTGTCCTTTGCATCTACACTCTCATGTCGACAAAGCGGCTTGCTTTGTCGACAGAACTGGATGTCGTCTAGACGCTCTTTGTTGACAGAAGCTTTGTCGGCAGTATCTGTCGACAAAGCCTCTGTCGACAAAAGCCTGTAGTCTAGACGTACCCTTAGAGACCCACTCACTACAATATGAACCTCCTGTGGTTTGGCAAATTCTGTGGTTCAGCACCAGTCTGGTCCCAAGGGTGCTGGTCTAGAGAGAGTCAACCTGTAAATCGGAAGCAATTGCCACTATGGCCCAGTTTGGTTCAGTGGCTTTTTGGCTCGAGGCTGCTAATGGCTTCCCATGCATGTGACACTGCTTCCTAAGCAGAGCAGTGAGCAGAATGATGATGCGTAAAGCTTCTGCAGGTTCACACAGAGTGCCAGCACTGGGCACAGACTGTCCCCCAGATCTGCAGCTAGAGGGAGTCCTCCATGGAAGGTCTCCTGCAAGAGAGAAGGGAATGAAGCTGCACAGTCAGGTTCCTCCCTGGTAGTCTGCAGGATGCTCAGAGTGAGCTCAGTGGGGCTTGGAGGGCAGTGCTGAGGATGGATAAGAGAGGAGCAGGACAGCAGCCCAGTTCTGCAGCGCTCTCCCTGAAAGCCACCAACCTGGCAGCTCTGCTTATCTGCTTTGGGCATCCCCTTTGTGTCTAGTATTGGGCTGATGCAGGGAGACCCAGCAAATGGCGCTGTGTCTATTAAAGATACACTGAACTGTAAAGTAAACAATGTACTGATGAAAGCCAGGAAGATTTTTCTCTCAAGGAAGTAAAATATCATGATGGTTTCTTTTTCCTGAAGAACTCCTCAGTTCTCCCTAGGACAGGAGTGGGCAAAAGGGCCTCCGCGGGCCGGATCCTATGTAATGTTTAGAGAAACATTGAGTGGAGCACCATGATCTAGAGCAGGGGTGGGAAGAAGGGCCTTTGCAGGCTGGATCTGGCCCCCCAAGCAGATTGATCCAGCCCACAGAGGCCCTGCCGCTCCCCTGCCCCCAGGCCAATTAGGGCGCGGGGGCAGGGGGGAGCACTAGAAGCTTCTTCCTGCCCTGCCAGGAGCACGTGGTACATTGAAGCACCATGTGCTGCTCACAGGGCGGGAGGAGGCGTCACGTGCTCCCCCGCCCCCAAGCTCTGATTGGCCGGTGGGTGGGGGTGTGTGGGAAGCCTCTTCCCACCCTACCAGGGGCTTAGTGGGAAGGGGGGGGCAAGTAGGCTCCCCCATTCCCAGACCAGTCATGGTCTGCGGATGGGAAAGCCGAGAAGCATCCTGGCCCTGCCCCTTCCATTTTAGGCCCAGCCCCTTCTGGGGCAGCCTGGCCCCACTTCAAAATTTTTTGAAATGGCCCCCGGCCAAAAATTATTGCCCGCCCCTGCCCTAGGAATAGCCGGTTTATTTTGGGTGGTTCTATTTACGGTAATTATGCATTCAAATAATACGAAAGAATCTGGTGTCGTTGGCATTATGTCTCTGGAAAGCTTTGCTGTGGTTGCTTTGCTGTGGTTGCTGTCTGCACTGTTGATCTCGGTAGCCATTGAGGAACTTGAGATGCTGGTGGGCTTGGAAACATCTTGATCATATTGCCTATGAAGTTAGTTTTTGGCAATGAGATGGTTCTCCCTGGAAAGTCTGGCTGTGGTCTGCCACCACTGACGCCCTGCAGACTTTTCATTGAGAGGACATTGCTTTACGTAGCAATCTTGGGTGGAACGGAGGGAGGTGTGATAGCTGTTCCAAGTCCAACAGCTTGCGTGAGAATAAGAGCTGCTCAAGAGGGTGATGCAGTTTATAAGTGTCCATCAGCCATTGCACATCAAAGATGTATCGAGAACAGCTTCCTCTTTGCTTTCAGGTTTTATTTCTGTCTGTTACCTTCTTTACAGGAACTCGAGATGCAGGCTCGAGCACACGGACTTTCCCTTGTCCCATCGACAGGCCTGTGCTCACCAGATGTGGTCAGCCGGGTCATCAAGCAAGAACCTGTCCTGGACAATTGCAACCAAGAAGTTTTGCAGCGCCACTCAGATTTATCTTGCACTACTACCCTCGATCTTACTGATGGCACCATAACATTCAGTGATAACCTAGGCCCCTACAGCGTCCCCACCAAAGTGGGATCCAAACTGGAAGATATATTGATGGACGATACTCTCTCCCCTGTCGGAGTTAGTGATCCTCTCCTTTCCTCTGTGTCTCCTGGAGCTTCCAAAACAAGTAGCAGAAGAAGCAGCATGAGCATGGAAGAGACCGATCATGCTTGTTAGCAGATACTTGGCATGGCCTCTCATAAACTGCTTCATTTCTTAATCAGTAGATGAAATAATTTACAATTTTAGGTTTTTTTGATTTTCTTTTAATATTAATCTACTTGTGCTTCATCAGTAGCCCAGTGTGTGTGTGTGTGTGTGTGTGTGTGTATATATGTATGTATGTGTGTATGTGTGTGCATATATATAGAGAGAGAGTTTATGTGTGTGTGTATATATATATATATAATATTTTTGAATTTTGTGAAAAGACTTGTATATTCTATTTTAAAAGTACCAATGCCACTGGAATATTGTACAGTCTATGTACAGTATTTGCAAACTGGATTTGCCAAGAACTTTGAACTGGTCAAATCTACTCAGAGCAATAGAATTACAAAATCAAAGCAAGAGTCTGTTTTTATTCAGGGGAAACGTACAAGTTATTTACTTGGAAAATGCAGAGCTAAAAAAAAAGTGAATGTGAAGAAACCAAAAATACCCACTTTGTAACCATGTTGTGTTGATTTAATAGTGCTGCCTTAAAGATACAGTATCCTTCAAACTTAGTTTAGTCTTTATATCACAAGATGTTTAAAATAAATCACTATTCTACTGTAATAATAAAACTAGTGTAAACACATACTGATGGTATTGATTCCAATGTAAAATGTTCCTGATATTGTTGCTAGAAATGAAGGAGAATGTGTAGGGAGCCATGCATCTGTTTGAGTTCTTTGGAGTGTTATTTTTACTCCCAGTGGAGAGAGTTTTGCGTCTGCTCCTACTTCAAGCTTTTTTAAAAGGCTTTTATTTTGAAAAGGAGACTTAGTCATTTATCAACAATAAAATAGGCAGGAGCGCTGTAAGATAGTATATATTTTCAGACAAAATTCAATCCATTTTATCAACTGGGCACATTTTGTTGTATATTTCTAACTGGCCTTACTTTTTTTTAAGTGTTGTACAGGTTTTTCATTTGCATGGATTCTTTAGTTACCTTCATTTTTTTGTTTTGTTTTAAATATAGTTGTATTTCATTTATAAGAATATGCCTCTTTAATGTAATGATTTTTTGACATGTTTAAAACTCACTGGAAGTTTTCTGCATTCTTTGTAAACACTTGAAAGGAAGCTTTTATGGAGGATACTGTGTACTGAGAGATTTTGAGAATATTTTGTATATTACAGTCTCACTTTGAAAATATTTTTAAACACAATTTAAAGTGTACAAATGTAGACTGTTACAAAACAAAGCTCTGTAGAGAAACTGAACTTACATATTTATTTTTAGTGATACTGAAAGAATAGTAATATGCTTTGAAGCCTAATAACTATATAGTTAATATGCCCATTAGAATAATTAAATTGGTGTTTTATTTCAGCAATATGGCTGGTTTAAAAAGAGTAAAATTACTGTATCTTCAAGTAACTGTTACTTTATAACCATTGTATTAATTTAACTTGCAACAATGTTGTAAAAGTAGTTTGGTGCATTATCTACACAAGTGTAGCCCTATGCAATAACAGTAGTTAGAAGTGTATTAATCAAACCTAGATGTTTCACAAAGATGACAGATGGTATTTGAGCCAGACTGACTGGATTTCTCAGTAGCAACCTACAGTTGAAATGTGTCAGAAAAGCATCTTGTTCAGAATGAAGTGCCTTACATTCTAGTAGTAATCTTCTTGGACTAGCACGGACTGAAGTGTGGCATAGGAGAAAATGGGGGGGGGTGATATTTATAGGAAATCTAAGTGCAGCCTGGTGTCCTATGTAGAAAATAAGAGCTTCCCTTCCTTTGTGCTGTGCTGCAAAGAGATGTATAATATATAAAATGTAAATCTTTAATAATTGGAGTGCCAAAATGGTCAGACTTGATCAAGAAAACTTGGTCATGGCAGTTGAATGGTGTTCAGAAATCCAATGTGAATATTGTGATGAAGGCAGAGGACAAAAGGTCAGGCGTTTTAGGGGAAGGGTCATACAGATGGATGCTGCATCTTTCACATAGACATTTGGTTATGAAAAATCCTGGAAAGAAACCACTGGGCCTGCTCTCAGTGAAGTCAGTACGAGTTTTCCATTTGACAGTGGGGTTGCCTGACGGGGCCTGTCATCAGCTCGGCTGCTTTCTATTCTGGTGCTTGGGGTGGATTGGGGTTTAGAGTCGGGATGTGAATGGTAAACCAGTAAGTTTCACCTTTAACGGGTGATGCTTTCCGATTTGGTAAACCAGCGGGGGCGGAAGCTGTCCCTCTCCCACCATGGGCAGGGGGCTGCCCCAGTCCTGTGGAGCCCACAACAGGCAGGAGTTCCTCCAGACCGGCTGGAGCAGCCCTTTTCTGCTTCCATTTAATCTATTAACTGATTAAACATAAGGTTTAACCGGTGAACTAATTAAATAGGATTTTACATCCCTAGTTTAGAGCAGGAATTCTCCTATGGGGCAGATGTGGAAGAATGTTCTAGTTTACTGTGTAGTCCTGCCCCGAGTACAGGGGACTGGACTAAATGACCTCTCAAGGTCCCTTCCAGTCCTATGCTTTATGATTCTATATTTTTGACATTTTCTTATATTTATATCACCAGCTTTCTCACCGGTTAGTTATGCCGTTATTTGTTTCTGCTTGAAGAGCTAACTGTGTCTTAGCTGTGATAATCACCAGCTGTGTCACGTTGGGGGAGGGGCAGAAGTCAGCTCTCAGTGTTACAACAAATGCCTGTTTTTCCTAGCACATTTTGGACTCTTTTCGACCAGTGGTTGAAACAGACCAGTGGTTTCCAAACTGGCCCGGAGGCCACTGCACATGGGTCTCCAACACCTCTTGCTACAGTCGACCACCACAGTCAGCAAGGCAGTGATGTGGTTCTTTGCACAGCTGCTGTGCCACAGTTTAGCGACCGTGCATGCGATCGCTTGCTCTTGTTGTTGCAATGTGCTAATGGTGACCGATGAAGGAAATCTATAGCTATAGCTTATACACAGGGTCATGTACTTCTCTTTGAAGTAAAAGGGTGAGCAAAGGCCAGAGAGGTGCTGCAATCTGACAAAAATGGGATGCACAAGGTCGTTAGGATGTAGTAACCAGAAAAATCCATTCAAGATGGTCCAAAACTGGATACCATCATGGGTAGCACACTCGAAAACCTTTAGAAGAGGGCCTGAATATAAGATATGCAAATAGGAATCATGCGTATTTGATCCCTGTGTGGACTAAAAGGAAATCCTGATTCTCTGCCCCCGCGCAATTTGTAAATAGTCCTCGTATGCTTAGATTTGCCAAAAATCGGATTTCTTCCCAAGCTCTGGATTTCTCTGGATAAACATCCCTGTGCCCCCCAGCAGCCATCTCGTACTACATGTTGGCTGCAGTAAGGATGTAAAATCCCAGATAATTGGTGAAAGGTGAGGTTTGTCTAGCGTTTAACCGGTTAACCGACTGAAGCGGGATCCCAGGTGGGGAACTGCTCCAGCAGCCTTCAGCACCACACTAGGGTTGAAGCTGCTGCTGGTTCCCAGCCCCCTGCCAGAGCAGCCCTTGCCTGCGGGGTGCCTAGGCTCCCTGCAGACAGAGGCTGTTCTGGACAAGAGTAGTCCCTGTCCATAGTGGGCCCCCAATGGGGCTGGAAAAGCCTCCTGCCCGCAGCAGAAGGGGAGCTGCTCCAGTCTCCTTCCCCTGGCTTCCCCTGTTACCGGTTAACCAGAACCTGTAAGCATTACCCATTTAGGGTGATACTTACCAGGTAATCAGTTAACCTTTCGCATCGCTGGTCTGCAGAGCTGTGCATAGTTTGTATTGTAGCTCCAAAATAGCACGCTGTACACAACAGTCAACATTGGTTTCTTTCCTCAGGTCCTGCTATAGGTTGCAGCTCTAATTTGATATGCCAGTAGGAGGTGCGGGCTTTTCAGACAGTTAATTTCTGATGCTCTTATTCTCTCTGTGGTACGTGCACCATGGAGCTTATGACCCCTAGGTTGTGTCTACATTGGCATGATTTTGTGCAAAAGCACGCGCTTTTGTGCAAAAACATGCTGCCTGTCTACACAGGCGGGGAGTTCTTGAGCAAGAACACTGGCGTTCTAATGTGCGAAATCAGTGCTTCTTGCGCAAGAACTATGATGCTCCCGCTCAGGAATAAGCCCTCTTGCGCAACTGTTCTTGCGCAAGAGGCCAGTGTAGACAGGCAACATGAATTTCTTGTGCAAGGAAGCCCGATGGCTAAAATGGCCATCGGAGCTTTCTTGCACAAGAGAGCGTCTACACTGACATGGATGCTCTTGTGCAAAAGCACATCACTTGCGCAAAAGCACATGCCAGTGTAGACACTCTCTTGCGCAAATACTTTAACGCAAAAACTCTTGCATTAAAAGTATTTGCGCAAAATCTTGCCAATGTAGACGTAGCCCTTATGTTTTACATGTGGAGTAACTACAGACCAGGCCAAGAGTCAGCGGCTTGAGGCAAGACACTGCACCAGCAAGATGGAGTAGGCAAGCAGCCCTAGGACGGTTATTGCCCCAAGCTTCAATCTGTAATGACTGCGTGGTCCACATGCCAATAATATGAGCCAGGACTGGCTTACCTGGCCATAGCCATGGACTGCCAAACAATTCTTGCTTTGCCAAAACCGTGCAACAGATGTGAACCTATAGAATACAATGATTTCTTTATTGTTTTTTAGACTATAAAGCAATATTAACTCTGCAGCCTATAAATGCAAATAGGAAGTATACAACGAAAAGAAAAGAAAAGCACAAAATAATGCACTTACATTGAGGTTTTTGACAAAAAAATGCACTGGGGAGAAGCAGATGTTGACAATGATATAAAATACCTATATTTCTTGAAAAAGTGACATTAATTACTGCCTCTTGCTATGATGCTTGGTACTGTAATGTTGTTGATATTCACCTGCTGTTGACTGCAGCAATAATTTGTGTATGGTCCATAGCACTGTAAATTATGGATCAATAGTTATGTATCCAATGAAATACTTTCAACTGTTGTTCTTGATAGATGAATTAAAGCATTTGGTTTTTCACATCCTTTGTGTTAGCCACTTGTTTTCAGTGTTAATGTATTGTGGTTATAAAAGTCGTGGATGTAGTGTCCTGACAAGTCTCTTGCTCTGTCAACAATAACTGTTCGGCTGCATGTTTGGCCCCTCTGTGTGTCATGTTGTCTTGTGCAAGGAGCCAACATTGCAGACTCTGGGAGAGCCCCCAAGGCCACAAAATCAGATAAGGACCAAAGGCACCAGGAAGAAGCACCTGTGGCCTGCAAAGATCACGTCCTTCAAGTCAAGGGCAGCATACCCATCTCCTGGATACAGGGAAGGAATATGACGGTGGCTCAAGAGAGCATCTGGTTCTTCAACTTCTGTAGTTATTTACTGAGGCCTCACAGGTCCAGAATGGGCTGCAGCTCAAAACAGAACCTTTTGTTCCAATACTTGTGAGGAACCTTTTCCACCACCCCAGCTGCACCAACCCTTCTACCTCCTTCAAGAGGAGGCTCTCACAAGAGGGGTCCCTGAAGGGGGATGAGGAATAGGGGTGGAAGGAGAGAGAAATTGAAGGGTGCATCCCAGAGACACTGGGTGGGAGGATGCGTTGGCCCAAAGTTGTATGGGTCCATGCAGGGATGAAATGGGAAAGGCGGCTGGAAAAAATGGGGAAGATGGATCCGGAGAATAGATTGATAGGCCATCCTTGTAGCCTAGAAATGATTGCTTTGGTCCCTGCTTAGTGTGAGTTGAGCCTGACTGGGCAGAGGGTGGAGGAGGATGACTTGGGCGAGGTTTGTAGCCCTTGCTGTTCTTGGGGTGGGGGAAGGGCAGTTCTTGCTGGGCTTGGCTCTCTTGGCCTTAGGGTAGCAGCAGTTTAAATTCCTTCTGCATTGGGGCAGGAACCACTGGTTGTGCAGGAGTCCCTTAGCCTATGGAGCTTTTACCGTCTGTCAAATGGGAGATCCTGCATCAACTGCTGAGCCTCTGTTGACAAGCCAGATGGCAACATCCAGGACACCAGAGACTGAGGCCAGAGATTAGGCTGCAGAGTCAGCTGCATCTGAAGTTGCCTGTAGGGCCACCCTCACTGCCACCCTGTCCTCGAGGATCACCCAGAATTCCTTCCTGGACCTGTCAGGAAGCAAAGCCTCAAATTTACCTATGGTTGGCTGCAGCATATTGTAGACTGAATGGCCAACGAAGGCTTAGGGGCTAGCTACTCTGAGTTATAAGCTAGAAGATGAATACACTTTTCACTTGCTTAAATCTAGTCTTTTTTTGAGGGGGAAGGGGTAGCTCCAGGTTGGCCCTGTCTCTCCCTCTGGTTGATGGCTTCAACATATTCAAGAGTTCATGGCCGGGTGGGTGCAGAGATACTTATGGCTGACGACTGTGTCATGAAACTGAATGCTCAGATCAGGATGAGTCCCTGGCATGGAAAACCAGTGTTCATTGGTGATTGGTGACCATAGACCAGCGTTCTATGCCTCACGCTCTTCTCTTGGTATTGAGCTCTAGAACAAGACTGGAACTGGAGCGTACCAGCGACCCCCAGAGCGTCTCTGTGATCAGTTTCTATGGGTATGTCTACACTTGCTCCCTAGTTCAACCTCGTTTTTTGAGGAGTAATGTTAGTTCGAACAAAGGGGTTTGGTTCGAACTAACGCATCCCGGTGCACACTTCCTGGTTCAAATCAGCTGTTGAGTGGAGTAATGTGCCGGCGAGATCGTGCTAATGAAGCGTGGGATATTTAAATCCGTGCTTCATTAGCAATTTCAGTCACCTTGTGATGGGTCGCCCCCGACCCGCATGGGGGACGGCTGGGGACGCTGCGCCGCGGAAAGCGGTGGGCAGACCCAGGCCCCTCCCCCACCCTCGGTGCCTGTAGGGAACGCCGGCGGGGCTGCGTTCAGC